GACTTGGGTGGCGCTGTGGGTTAAACCACAGAGCCTAGGACTTGCTGATCAGAAGGTCGGCGGTTCGAATCCCCGCAACGACGGGGTGAGCTCCCGTTGCTCGATCCCTGCTCCTGCCAACCTAGCAGTTCAAAAGCACGTCAAAGTGCAAGTAGATAAATAGGTACCGCTCCGGCGGGAAGGTAAACGGCATTTCCGTGTGCTGCTCTGGTTCGCCAGAAGCGGCTTAGTCCTGCTAGCCACATGACCCAGAAGCTGTATGCCGGCTCCCTCGGCCAGTAAAGCGAGATGAGTGCCGCAACCCCTGAGTCGTCTGCAACTGGACCTAATGGTCAGGGGTAGGCCCTGTGCAGCTCACGACCAGGTTGCTTGAGAAACCACACTATTATGTGAAAACGGCAGCCCTACCGAGATATGAGAGGAGCCCATTATCTGAGCTCTGTCTCGCAAGAAGTGGCGCACGCTCTGGTTATCTCCCGCTTGGACTACTGCAATGCGCTCTACTTGGGGCTACCTTTGAAGGTGACCCGGAAACTGCAACTAATCCAGAATGTGGCTGCCGGACCGGTGACTGCGAGCGACCGCTGGGACCATATAACACCAGCCCTAAAAGACATTGGTTTCCAGTCTGTTTCTGAGTGCAATTCAAAGTGCTGGTGCTGACCTTTAATGTCCTAAACGGCCTCGATCCTGTAGTCTCCACCCCCACAATAAAATATTTGCAGGGGACGGGTCCCCACAAAATTGATGATTTCCCATTCAGATAGTTTGTGTGCGCACTGTGTCATGTAATTGATTATGCAGGGAGGAGCTTACCTGGGCCCCCCAATTTTTTATTCAAGTTAGCACCCCTGACTCCCATTGTTCTGCTTGGACCCTGGGTTTGAAATTAGCAGGGGGTCAGGCACATTTTGCACCTAAATATCGTCTGTTCGCAAGCACCTCCAAAAGTGTGGATGCCATTTTTTGCACCTGGCTAACGCTCAAAGATTACTGAAATGCATGTGCTTTGAAGCCTTGAAGTATATGTTAAGAAGCTAGAATTTTGCTGGCCAAAAATTGGAAATTACAAGAAGTACCAACAGTGGAAGAATGGCAGATGAAGATGATGGACTTTTGGGAGCTAGCCGGCCTGACCGGAACAGTCTGCGACCAGAAGGAGGAGGAGTACCAGGAAGAATGGAAGAAATTTAAAGACTATTGAATTAAATATGTTAAGATAACTTAAATAGAAATACTTTGGAGTAACAGATTGGCCTAGGAATTAAATATGTGAAATTGTATAATACCATGGATAGAAGTCAAAATGAAAAGAAAGAAGTTAATTGAACAGGTAAATTTTATATGAAAACAATGTTGGAAAACTGCTACAATGAGTTATATGGAAACTCAGCCAGAGGGAATTTGAGGAAGTCATCCAACAATGATAACAAAAATGGGATTATAATAGTTAAGATAAATGTTTTTTTTTTTTAATATTGTAATGTTTTTTCTTTTTTCTTTGTCTGTTGTTATATTTGTTATAATATTGGAAAATCAATAAAAAAATTTTGGGGGGGTGGAGAGTGTTGCTGACCTCCCCACCCCTGCCCCAAATGGTGACTAGATATTCTGTTTTGGCATCCAAAATCCAGGTCCTAGGAGCCATTTGGCTCCTAGCTTTTCTAACACTGCTTGGACACTGAGGTCCAACCCCCCCCTGGGTCTTCTGGTGGTTTCCACACTGCGAGGTTGCAAGGAACCAGGCGTAGGGCCTTCTTGGTGCTGGCACCAGCCCTATGGAATGCCCTTCCATCAGATGTCAAACAGATAAGCAACTACACAACATTCAGAAGACATCTGAAAGCAGCCCTGGATAGGGAAGTTTTTAACGTTTGCTGTTTTATTATGTTTTTATATTGTGCTGAAGCTGCCCAGAATAGCTGGGGCCACCCAGGCAGATGAGTCAAGGCGGGTGGGTAAATAATTATTACTACCTGCACTTTCCGGAAACAATTAAATACCTTTTTGTTTTAGCAGGCTTTTCCAGCTGGGTGAAAAGGCCTCTGACTTAGGTGCCCTTTGTGTAGTTTTCAAACCTGTGGCTACTGGCTGTTGTTGTTTTTTGTTTACTGTTTTTAAAGCTATTTTTAGTCGTCTTTATGGCATGCCTGCGAATCGCCTTGATGCGCATGTAAAAGCAAATTTATAAATAACAGCAATAAAATGCACTTGCAGTGCAATGTCATGCATACCTACTCGGAAATAAGACTTATCAAGCATTTCCGTTTAGGGTGCACACATTAGAATTATTTGCATATATTTATAAGGTTGTAGCTGGAGGCGTGGGAATCATATGCAGAGTCGACCCAGTAAAATGATGCTAATCCTGAATTAAGTTCATCATGACTTAACCTGATTTCAGTGAGGATCCACCAAGGTGGCTTCAGCCAGATACAGGCTCACTGAAATTAATCGAGCTAAATTAGCCATGCTCGTTAATTTCAATAGCTTTGACTAATGTTGGATACAACCCCCAGTTAGTATTACATGGAGAGTCACACTCTCGAGTCAGTTCATCACGGCTAACTCGAGACTTTTCATTTCAGCAGGTCTACTCTTGAGAAAGACCTGGCCATATTAAGTTTAATGGTTCTACTCAAAAGTATGACTGTACCCTTAAAATTGCCGTCCTATTAAGTTCTACCCCAAGCAGACCCAATTAACTTCGGCCAATTATTTTCAAATGGTCTCCTCCAAGTGTAGTCTAGTTGGACAAAACCCTAAGTTTAGAATTTCTCCTGAGCTTCACTTGTAAATTTTAATAAGGAAAGGTTACAACATCCGATTTATTTACTTTTCAAGTTTAGAAAGAAGGTGAGCAAGAGAGATGACTCAAGATTGTAAAAATATTTGCATGGCATGGAGGAAGTAGACAGATATTTTTTTCCCCTCCTCCTAATGCTAGAACTCCAACGAAACTGAACAGTTGGAAGATTCAGGACAGACAAGAAGTAATAATAATAATAATAATAATAATAATAATAATAATAATAATTTATTATTTGTACCCCGCCCATCTGGCTGGGCCTCCCCAGCCACTCTGGGCGGCTTCCAACGAAGATTAGGTAAGGTACCCCTGCCCGTACGGGCCAGTCGTGTCCGACTCTAGGGTTGTGCGCCCATCTCACTTAAGAGGCCGGGGGCCAGCGCTGTCCGGAGACACTTCCGGGTCACGTGGCCAGCATGACGAAGCTGCTCTGCCGAGCCAGCGCAGTGCACGGAAACGCCATTTACCTTCCCGCTATAAAGCGGTACCTATTTATCTACTTGCACTTGGGGGTGCTTTCGAACTGCTAGGTGGGCAGGAGCTGGGACCGAAAGACTGGAGCTCACCCCGCCGCGGGGATTCGAACCGCCGACCATGCGATCGGCAAGGCCTAGGCGCTGAGGTTTTACCCACAGCGCCACCCGTGTTCCAGGCAACGAAGATTAAAAATACATTAAAATGTCACACATTAAAAACTTCCCTGAACAGCGCAACAGATATAGTTGCCCACATTTTGGATTCATTTATAAAGTAAGGATCAAAAGGATAGTATAAAATTATTAACAGCAGCAATGAAAAGCTCATCCGTCATGAATATAGTCATGTTCAGATCTTATCTGCAATATTCAGATCTTCAAAAATCTGTACACGTACATCAAGCCAAACCTTTAATATGAAAATGTAAACTCAGGAGGGTATAAATGTTATCTTTCTTGACTTTTAAAAAGTCCATCCTAGGTTTTTGGCAGTAGGCAAGGAGGGGAAAAAACATTTTAGAACTCCTACTTACTTATAGGTAAAGGTAAAGGAACCCTTGACCATTAGGTCCAGTCGTGACCGACTCTGGGGTTGCGGCGCTCATCTCGCTTTATTGGCCGAGGAGCCGGCGTACAGCTTCCGGGTCATGTGGCCAGCAGGACTAAGCCGCTTCTGGAGAACCAGAGCAGCGCACGGAAACGCCCTTACCTTCCCACTGGAGCGGTACCTATTTATCTACTTGCACTTTGACGTGCTTTTGAACTGCTAGGTGGGCAGGAGCAGGGACCGAGCAACGGGAGCTCACCCCGTCGTGGGGATTCGAACCGCCGACCTTCTGATCAGCAAGTCCTAGACTCTGTGGTTTAACCCACAGCGCCACCCACGTCCCACTTACTTGTAAGTAGGACTTATTCACCCACCAGATAGTAAACCCATGGAACTCGCTCCTGTGGAAGACAGTGGTGGCCGCAGACTTGGAGGGTTTTAAAAGAGGACTGGACAAATTCATACAGGAATTACAATGCCTCATGACTATGCTCTACTTCTGCCGTCGAGGCTGAACGCCGCTTGTTGGGAACTGCAAGTGTTGCTGTTGTGTTTGTGGTCTTCCCAAAACGGGCACCTGGTTGCTCATTGTAAAAACAGGATGCTTAAATTAGTTGGGTCATTAGCTCTTCTAAGTCACGCCATTCTTCTGTTGCTCATAATTTTGATTTCAATGGCTCTCCGCTCTGAACATGACGAACACTGGACGCAACTCTTAGGTTAGAGATAATTTTAAGACCATTGCTTTCAAAGGGCTTAGTATAATGTAGGTTGGATACCGCCTTAAGCTATTTACTACCTTCTTTTTAAATGGAGGAGGGGAGAGAAAGGAAAAGAAGTTTATTCTCTTGTTACAAGGATAGAAATGATTCCCTCTTGCCTCTATTTCTAGGCAAACGGTCGTAACTGTCCAGGTCCTACTTCAGAGTAGAATCACAGTCACGGGAATGGGGGTGGATCCTGAAAACACAGCGTAAAGAGGGGTGTCATGTGTCCAGAAACTTGTCTAAACTCCAGCAACGTCCATTAACCACAATGACTTCACTCTGGGTACATATTGTCTTACTCCAAAACAGGCCCACTGAAGTCAGTGGACCCAAGTCACCCTTGTTGTTTAATTCCAATGGGTCTACTCTGGAGTAGAACTAACACTGGGTACGACTTCTCCGTCACAGCAGACTACCTGAAGTCCATGGGCCCCAAGGCAACCACATCCTTTTACCTTCAATGGGTCTCCTCTGGTGTAGGACGAACACTGGCTAAAACCCGCCCCACTTAAGGGCAGACCCAGTTGAGGACACTGGTCCCAAGTTAGCCACAACCGCAATGGGAACATTAAGGCAAAACATAATACTCCAGAGTAGCCCACCAAGCCATGCCCATTCATTACTCTGGAGTAGGGTTACAAATCATTCTGCTCCAGAGTGGAACCACTGAAATCAAGGCACACATGCCAGCCATATCCTTTTCCTTTCAGTGGGTCTCCTCTGGAGTAAAACTCGCCCTGCCTCAAAGCAGACCCTCTTGGAAGCCAAAGGACCCAACCCAGCCACTTCCTTCTACTTTCAGTGAGTCTCCTCTGGATCAGGACTAAAACTCACCCTGCTTTAGAGTAGACCCAAATCTGCCACATCATTTTACTTTCAGTGGGTCTCCTCTGGAGTAAAACTCGCCCTGCCTCAAAGCAGACCCTCTTGGTGGCCAAAGGACCCAACCCAGCCACTTCCTTCTATTTTCAGTGGGTCTCCTCTGGAGTAAAACTCGCCCTGCCTCAAAGCAGACCCTCTTGGTGGCCAAAGGACCCAACCCAGCCACTTCCTTCTATTTTCAGTGGGTCTCCTCTGGAGTAAAACTCGCCCTGCCTCAAAGCAGACCCTCTTGGCGGCCAAAGGACCCAACCCAGCCACTTCCTTCTACTTTCAGTGCGTCTCCTCTGGATCAGGACTAAAACTCACCCTGCTTTAGAGTAGACCCAAATCTGCCACATCATTTTACTTTCAGTGGGTCTCCTCTGGAGTAAAACTCGCCCTGCCTCAAAGCAGACCCTCTTGGTGGCCAAAGGACCCAACCCAGCCACTTCCTTCTATTTTCAGTGGGTCTCCTCTGGAGTAAAACTCGCCCTGCCTCAAAGCAGACCCTCTTGGAGGCCAAAGGACCCAACCCAGCCACTTCCTTCTACTTTCAGTGAGTCTCCTCTGGATCAGGACTAAAACTCACCCTGCTTTAGAGTAGACCCAAATCTGCCACATCATTTTACTTTCAGTGGGTCTCCTCTGGAGTAAAACTCGCCCTGCCTCAAAGCAGACCCTCTTGGTGGCCAAAGGACCCAACCCAGCCACTTCCTTCTATTTTCAGTGGGTCTCCTCTGGAGTAAAACTCGCCCTGCCTCAAAGCAGACCCTCTTGGCGGCCAAAGGACCCAACCCAGCCACTTCCTTCTACTTTCAGTGCGTCTCCTCTGGATCAGGACTAAAACTCACCCTGCTTTAGAGTAGACCCAAATCTGCCACATCATTTTACTTTCAGTGGGTCTCCTCTGGAGTAAAACTCGCCCTGCCTCAAAGCAGACCCTCTTGGAGGCCAGAGGACCCAACCCAGCCACTTCCTTCTATTTTCAGTGGGTCTCCTCTGGAGTAAAACTCGCCCTGCCTCAAAGCAGACCCTCTTGGCGGCCAAAGGACCCAACCCAGCCACTTCCTTCTATTTTCAGTGGGTCTCCTCTGGAGTAAAACTCGCCCTGCCTCAAAGCAGACCCTCTTGGTGGCCAAAGGACCCAACCCAGCCACTTCCTTCTATTTTCAGTGGGTCTCCTCTGGAGTAAAACTCGCCCTGCCTCAAAGCAGACCCTCTTGGTGGCCAAAGGACCCAACCCAGCCACTTCCTTCTATTTTCAGTGGGTCTCCTCTGGAGTAAAACTCGCCCTGCCTCAAAACAGACCCTCTTGGTGGCCAAAGGATCCAACCCAGCCACTTCCTTCTATTTTCAGTGGGTCTCCTCTGGAGTAAAACTCGCCCTGCCTCAAAGCAGACCCTCTTGGAGACCAAAGGATCCAACCCAGCCACTTCCTTCTATTTTCAGTGGGTCTCCTCTGGAGTAAAACTCGCCCTGCCTCAAAGCAGACCCTCTGGGCGGCCAAAGGACCCAACCCAGCCACTTCCTTCTATTGTCAGTGGGTCTCCTCTGGAGTAAAACTCGCCCTGCCTCAAAGCAGACCCTCTTGGTGGCCAAAGGACCCAACCCAGCCACTTCCTTCTATTTTCAGTGGGTCTCCTCTGGAGTAAAACTCGCCCTGCCTCAAAGTAGACCCTCTTGGAGACCAAAGGACCCAACCCAGCCACTTCCTTCTATTTTCAGTGGGTCTCCTCTGGAGTAAAACTCGCCCTGCCTCAAAGCAGACCCTCTTGGCGGCCAAAGGACCCAACCCAGCCACTTCCTTCTATTTTCAGTGGGTCTCCTCTGGAGTAAAACTCGCCCTGCCTCAAAGCAGACCCTCTTGGTGGCCAAAGGACCCAACCCAGCCACTTCCTTCTATTTTCAGTGGGTCTCCTCTGGATCAGGACTAAAACTCACCCTGCTTTAGAGTAGACCCAAATCTGCCACATCATTTTACTTTCAGTGGGTCTCCTCTGGAGTAAAACTCGCCCTGCCTCAAAGCAGACCCTCTTGGTGGCCAAAGCACCCAACCCAGCCACTTCCTTCTATTTTCAGTGGGTCTCCTCTGGAGTAAAACTCGCCCTGCCTCAAAGCAGACCCTCTTGGAGGCCAAAGGACCCAACCCAGCCACTTCCTTCTATTTTCAGTGGGTCTCCTCTGGATCAGGACTAAAACTCACCCTGCTTTAGAGTAGACCCAAATCTGCCACATCATTTTACTTTCAGTGGGTCTCCTCTGGAGTAAAACTCGCCCTGCCTCAAAGCAGACCCTCTTGGCGGCCAAAGGACCCAACCCAGCCACTTCCTTCTATTTTCAGTGGGTCTCCTCTGGAGTAAAACTCGCCCTGCCTCAAAGCAGACCCTCTTGGTGGCCAAAGGACCCAACCCAGCCACTTCCTTCTATTTTCAGTGGGTCTCCTCTGGAGTAAAACTCGCCCTGCCTCAAAGCAGACCCTCTTGGTGGCCAAAGGACCCAACCCAGCCACTTCTTTCTACTTTAAAGCGGGTCTCCTCTGGAGTAGGGCCCAACCCGACCCCCAGCCACCCCCCCCCGCCGTCTCACCTTGAAGTAGCCCCCCTCGTAGTGGGTGTTGGGGGGCCCGAAGATGGCCACCTCCCAGTTGTAGAGGTCCCCCTCGTCCACCAGGCTGACGCGGAAACCCTCCACGGGCTCCTCCTGGGCCCCTTCAGCTCCAGCAGCAGCGCCTTCTGAGAGCTGGGCACGGACGGCCGCGCCATGGTCGGAGGGAACGGGTAGGCCTCGGGTGAAGCCGGGGGCTCGCGTGAGCGGCGAGGCCGGGGGAGAGGAGGAGCGTGGCGGGGAGGGGAGGAAAGGGCGGCGGGCGGAGGGAAGGCGCGCGCCGAGGGAGAAGGCCGCTGCGGACCCGAAAGAGCGCCGCGGAGGGGCTCGAGCCACTGGAACGGCGTCGGCGACGACAACAACAGAGCGCGCGCGCGGGGCCGCTTGGGAGGCGTAGTTCCTCCCCTGGAGGCGGCGGCGGCGACACGCCCTCGTCCCCGCCCATCACGCGCGGCGACCAATGAGCGGCGTCTCTGGAGGCGGGGAGAGGGCGGGACCGGAGGGTGAGGACTGCATTTCCCAGGAGGCTTTGCGAGGACCGCCTTCCGCATGTATTGAACACACAAACAAATAAGCAGGGAAGTGTCTTGTGAATTTCTCTCTTATCTGTGTATTTAATTACCTACATATTTTCAATGGCTGTTTTAAATCTGTTTTGTCTTTACTGGCGATTTCAATGCTTTTTGTAAACTGCTCTTGAGGGTGTTTTTTTTTTGCCTTTTTGGAATTTTTTTTTTAGTTTATTTATTCAAAATTAAAGCAAGACATATTATCCAAAAACATATCATCCTTGGTCCCCCCCCCCCATTTTTCCTCCTGCCCCCACCCCCCGACTTCCCTCAGTTCCAGTCTTTGGTTTCTCTAAGAATGCTGTTTTCTGCATGTTACAAAGTTGTATAGATCCTCAAACGATTTAGCTGATTATTATCAATAAAAAGTTTGTGAATGTTTATTCAAAAACTTCCAGAGCCCAGTTCGCTTTGTTGC